TAAACCCTGGATATGCACAGTCAAAACATTATCTTGTTATCTGCAGAGTTCAGCTGATTGAAAACAACACAGTGAACACATTGACATTCTGTTACACCCAGAGATCAGAGATACTCTGAACTTTTACATATCTACAGGGCAGCAAGGCAGGCGTGAGATGCAAAAGGAAAGCCGAGGGAGGTGCTTCCTGCCTACTGAAGGGAAGACCTAGTTCCCCATAAAATCCCAGGATTGCCCATTTACATACAGGACAGCCATTAGTTAAAGGTAGGCTGGATCATGGATTGATTTCTAGGATATAAAATCTCTTTCTCAACTCCTACCTTAGAATGTGTGTTATGTGCTTTCCACCTGGGAGCTGCAGTCTGCAAATGGGGAGAGCAGATGCCAGGTTTATTTTTTCTTGTTGCATCCCTGTTCCAATTTCAGTGATATGGGCCAGGAGGTACTTTAGGACACAGCAATTCCCTTGCTACCTCTAGATTATGTATGATCACTACATGCAGGCATGCACCCAAATAATAGGAAATCATATTCTGAACAAGTTACTTTGTCTTCTGCATCACACAGGATGGAAGCACTGGTAGGAATTCAGCAAAGTTGTTCAGTTAGTAGCCACATTTCCTAATGATGTTTGTGTTGATGTTTGTGTTGAAAAGAATACACAGCACTTGTGACAAATTTTGCCTTTAAAAAGGGTTTCCTTTTCTAAGTAGACTTAATTTTATGTGCTCTGTGGGCTTGGCCTTATTTTCCTTTGAAACAAACTCCATAATTACTATGGATGCCACTTACTTGATTAGTCTATAGAGTCAGTCCCAATGCATTTTATCAGCAACTTTGTCTATAATAATATTAATTTTCTTGGTAAAAACAATCAGTTAGCTGTGCCGAACATCTTTTGATCAAAAATCTGTGCGGCAGATGAGAAGAGATGGGTCCAGCTCCTCACCTACTAAACATTTTCTCTGACGTTCAGAACATTCGTGACTAGCAATGTCCCAACTAGGTCTTCCTTAACTGAAGAGAAAATGCCTGGGGATGTTTACTTCCTGCCAGCTGCCTTATGCAGCATGTAGCTTCACGGGGCTTGGGGCTGGCCACTTCGCAGTATTCTAGGCATCCTAACTCATGTAAGAATGAATACCAGCAAAAACATAGTCTATAAAGGAAAATATCATCTGGTCAAGCTGTTTGAGCACGGGACAAACACATTTATTATCTGTGTTGATGTCTTTGACGTTGCCTGTATCAGTGTAATGATTAGGAAAAGTTTGTAAATCACATTTAAAAGAGAAATTTTAAAAGTGCCTATTTTGCATCATCTGGTGCAAGGAGTTAAGAATATTAAGTAAGACAATATAATCTTACATAGATCATTTAAACATTTTCCTTTGAATCACAAAAAGCGAGAGCTTTACACAAGAGCGAGCTCAACACTTCTCAGCAACACAGTCAAAACTGAATCTTGCCACTCCAAAGGTGAGAGCCTGGACCTACAGTGTTTCTAGCTCCACAAGACCAGAAGGAGCTACAGAGAGTTTTTTCCTAAGGAGAACAGCTGTGCGCTCTAATACTGCTACTGCAAACCGTTTCCAGGGACAGCAGCCGCAGCCAAAGGGCTTTCCAGAGCTCAGGCACAGCCAAAGGGACAGCGGCGCTATGGATATTCTGCTGCTCCTGCCTACCAAAAGCCTTGGAAGACTGGCTAGACTCCTAATGGAAAGCAGTCCTCTAGAGAAGTTTCCTTGCTTTAGCTCCAAACTTAATTTGCTGCATCTGCATGTGGCACTCGTGTGAAATGCAGGTGAGGCAGCGTTCAGCTAAGAGCCAGGCTACCTGAGACGGAAGGAGCATGTATGAACCTCTCTCCTCTTTCATAGCGTAACCCGATCTCTACGTATGTAAGACATGAGTGTTATATTCCCCAGTCTTCTTTTCAATGAAAAGCAGAAATTCTCATGACTTGGAGGCTTCAGGATTTTATGCTGTGGATGTCTGAGGTGTGTATATTTTGGGGAAAGAGGAAAGTTTTTGAAGCCAGGTGCTATAAGCACGTGACTGGAAATGTAATTGGCTTAGAACTGATGTTTCAGTCCGTTAAGGCTGCATTATAATTGGCACCTTTCCCGTAAGACTCAATTTGTTATAATTGATTCAATATTAAAAGCGGACATACTAGAGATAATTAAGTATAATAAGGCTTTAATAGATTTGGAGTATCTTCAAAGGAGGCTAGTGAATATTAGTGATCTCAATCCATTTTACAAATTCCTAAGGGGAATCAACTATATAATTATAGTAATTGGAGAAGGTAAGGGAGAATTTTGAATCTATTGTACAGTAAAAATGATTAAAATGTCAAACACTATGACTATATCCTTAGCCAACATAAAATATGTAATTTCACTTCATTTTTTCCAATAGCATCTGATCACTGTAACTGTGCACATGCCTAACACAATGATGGACTTGGAATCCTCCTAGAACTTCATGTTTTCAGTCAGTACAGTCTTGTAACTGCTTCTTTCCAAAGACAGGCAAAATGGATTTGAATATCAGAAATATTGCCTACTGCCTTTTGAAAATATTTTCAGTATAGATAAACCTTCTTTAAATTTCAGGAAAGTAATTATAGTTGTTGCAATATCACATTATCATTAAATATTATCACACCCTTTTAATTATAGGATTTGTCCCTTGTAATATTATACTAAGTTTATTTTAATATGCAGATAAATGCTTATTACTCTGCTTCCTCAGTAATTCTGTCCTGCTAAAAATTGAAGATCAGGCCTATGCAGTGTGAAGTGTTTCACACTATTTATTTACATAGGATACTATTAAGTTTACATAGGTCCATATAAGACTGACTCTGATATTAAAAAGTATTTAAAGCTCAGAGCTGAGTGTATAAAAAAACTAAAAATGAGGTTTTAATGCCATTTTTTAAAATGTTGCTTAAAAGACTTCCACTTTCAAATTCTACTAGTATTTTCAGTGGCTTGACAAGCAGACTAGTATTTTCAGTGGCCACTTGACAAGCAGAGGTAGATGTTGCCACAGATTTAATGATCCTTAGAGGTCTAAACGTGAATGCCATTTAACAAAGTTTAAAATCAGCTCCTAGTGTAAACAGAGATATCTTTGAATAGCTTATATGAAATGTACTATAAATAATAACAGAATTTCATAGCAGAAGTACGAGGGCTCCACTCTAAATGCTATAAATGCTTCCCTGTATCAGAATATTTGCAGCTAATCTTACATACAATCTTACATTTTTTAAATAATTCATTTTAAAAGTTCAACCACTCAAAAATTACTTTGAATTGCTTCTTGATAGAAATTCCACCAGAAATAAAAACCCTATCCCAGAAAAGATCCATAGAGGCATGAGCCTAATTACCCAGTGAGGGAACAGTATCACAGGAGATGGAGTCCCGCACATCCCGTCTCCCATTAGGCATCACACGGCCGTGGAAGACACGGGTGGAACTCAAGTCAGGCACAGGCGAACGTTTGAGTCAGACTGATAATACAGCAGAAATTACTTCTGCCGACATCAAGCTGAATATTTAATTTTAATTTTCTGGCTGGAAAATTGAAAAATGGAATCTGAAACCTCCATTAAATCACATGCAATTTTCTCCTAGGTTCAAATTCACATTATGTTAAAAACAGATAAAGTTGGAGATTTATCTGTAATTTATATTGCTATTAGATCAAATTTGGCACCTCAGGATAACTTAGATTATATGCCTCTATACATATATAATGTGTAAACATATACACATTTTAAGCCATAATTGAGTTTAAATTTACTATGACCTTTTCCAAGCAATACCTGCATTATAGTAATGTTATTTACATATAAAATACCATTTTCTGGAGAGTTTGTTGTTTTTTCTTTTTTTCTTTCATTTTAAAATACATTTTCAAACTCCATGACACTATTCCTGATAAAAGTCCATACAAAGTGTATGTCTAAACAATCTTTAAGGCCCAAGTTGTAAGGAGTGGATTCTTTTTTTTTTTCATTGTACTATATTTTGTTTAATTTACTAATTTAAATGACCTAAGATTAAAAAAGAAAAAAAAATCATATCCTATTTGCTCACATGCTTGATTATAATCTTCAAGATATAGGTAGAAGTTTGCAAAATTCTTTGAAGATGTTGTGAAATAAGACTTGTCACGTATATTTAAAAAAACAGTTACATTAATTCAAGCTTGTCCCAGAATTATGCAAGTTCATCTTGCATATATACCTCTAAGCATATATTCCATATGAAAAGCACCATCTATGGCTTTATTTAATTAAAATTCCAAACAAAAAAAAAATAAAAAAAAGAGGGAAAGGATAACTTTATTACAGTTAAAAGAGTTTCTGGGAATCTTTTCTATACTTTGGCAAATCCAGATGAAATTTCAAAGACATTCTGTGATGAAGTTGGCCAATCTAAGCCTAGAATGGTTTTTGAAAATCTGCTATTAATGAATATTAAATTAATTTAACCTTAATACTCAGCCAACATGATCTCTCTGTGCACATTCATAATGTGAAGCCAGCAAATCACAGAGAATAATTTCTGTATAAACACAAAGTAAGGATAGAATAGTCTAAAAATAACAAGTACTCCAATGCTTGCTGCCCATTAATGAGAGCAGTTTAAAAAGAAGTCTACTCTCTTTTTTTGGTTTTGGGTTTTTTTCTGTGAGCTATTGTAGCTATAATAAATAAATAGTTCCTATGAAATACCCAAACCCAAGCTTTAGTGAAGTGCCAAATAACCTTGAAAAGAAGATTCCCCTTTTTGTTTATGGAGGGGAGACCCGAGAGCAAAGTTTTGGTTGGAGAACAAAACAAGCTGTATTTTTTTCTCAAGTTGACTATTCATTAATAAAAAATCACAACTTAGACATAGAATTATCCACAGTAAAGAACAGCAAACTTGTAAGGAAACTGCAAGTAAACGGTATTCATGGTTGTGTCCTACCTTGTACACAATGATAGGAATATCAATCACAATATAGATAAGGTCTCCTAGTGCCAGACTGGCTATCAGTGCATTCGGGCCATTCCTCATACACTTGTTCTGGTAAATGATCCTCAGCAGAGTTGCATTCCCAACCATTCCAACGATGAAAATAGCACAAGACACCACTGTGTTAATATATTTAAAAGTTTCAGCAATTTTAGTCTGCTGGGAGCACTTGACAGTTTGGTTGGACACTAGGGGCTGCCGGGTGGTGAGGAGTGCTGCAGAGTCTATCCCTGAGAAGGTGGGAAGATCGTTTCCCAGATCGCTCTGATTGGTGGTGTATCTGTCAGAGCTGTCACTGAGGGCAAGTCCTGGGACCAGCAGCAGCAAGGACACTCTTAAACACAAGGCTTCCATCTTCAACTCCCAAATAAGCAAGGTCAAGGAAACAGGGTTTTCTCAGTGTATCACTGTGGTATTTCTCACTTCTTCAGCTGCGCACAGACAAACTAAACAAAAACAAAAGGAGAAAAAGAATCAATACAACAGGTACATCCCGTTTCTCATTTAGGGAGAAGGGTATTTGAAGATACAGGCTTTTTACAACACCTATGAACAAATATGTATATATTGGTAATCACTGCGCTACTCTGAAATCTAGCTTATCCACATTCGTTAAATGGCCAGCAAAATTCAAACACAAAAATTCCCAATGGCAAATGAAGTTTATTCAAGAGAGATCCTGCAGAGACTTTTTAGTCTGAGGCAGATTTCATATATGAAAGGAAAAAAAATGATGGTGTATGAAGTTCTGTTATAAAATATAATCTTGCAAGAAAAGTGTCGGTAAAAGTCTCTCAGTTAAAGGAGCCTTTGAGAACCCTACTGAATGATGTTTTAGGAAATTCAGAGTTATTATTTCAGGTTTCTGCTAGAAAGTAAGGCAACAACCCTGCATTAAAAAGATAGATCTATTAAATTAGCTAATTTTATAATTATTTTTGATGTACTACAACACTGAGGCTTTACATCATCTTAATCTGTTATCACAATTGCTTGGGTTTTTAAAAGCAGGCTGTAGAGACATGAAATTTAAATCAAAATTTTGACTGGGTTTGCTCGATTTAGCAAGAAGACTTTACAGTCTCAGGGCAGACTTTTGACTAGGACAGATCCTTAAAGTCATATATGAGGATTTACTGTAATAAAAGTATGTGTTTGATTCTTGCATGAAGTCCTTGCAACTCATCTTTAGGCCTGGGCTGCAGCAGAGTTAAGTTTAAATACACAAAAATGTGAGTGTGTTGAAGCATTTAAACTTTTGAGTTAGTATCCTGAGCAGTATCTCCTGGAATTTTCAGGTGGGAATGGGAGCACCAGAGCTGTGTCACACGCAGCCAGAGCCAGCCTCCTGCAGCAGTGGGTAGGTACCGCCACTTATGTGTGTGTACGAGCCAAGGTTGTCCGTTTTCCTTAGGGCAAAGTCTGATCTACGACTATCATTTTTAACATGACTTGTCTATGCAAAATAGGATAAAGTGCTGCAATGTTGCCAAAATAAGAGTAGAAAGTTGAGTATTTATAACTTTCTGATTTCTAGGGATGCACACGAAGGAGTTGTAGGGATACTTTTAAATAAATCATTATTTCTTTCCCTATGGGACTATTAGTTCAGGGCTTATAGTGAAAAACTACAAGATAAAGAATGTGGGAGCCAATTTTCTGATAGGACTTCTGAACCCAGCCAGAGTGTAAATATTTACCCTCCATTATCCTCTGCGGTGTGAGTGCTTTGCAGCAGTGTGCGTGGAGCTGCATGCAGCAGCGTTAGGCAGCGTTCACGTGAACGGTCCTCCCTGGTCTGGGGCGCACTGGCCCAGAGCAGCCATACGGATTCACAGTGTGTTACAGTGGCGTGTCGAGATGAGCGCCTGAGCAGCCAGGCCTACCCACCCGCTTGGCCTGGCTGCCGCGTGCTGGGGCGCCCACCTGCTGGAGCCTCCCGGGCTGCTGGGGGCACGCTCAGTGCTGCTGGGCCCCATGGAAGGGTGTGCGCTTCGGCACACTAAATCACCGCCAAACCAACAGGCCGATTCTACTGTAAATCCGCTCTATACTTCTGCTATTTGTTATGACTACGGGTCCCCAGTATACCAATGGGAAAAACTGAATCATTAACGGTTTAAATGTCTTTCCTGAGTTCAGACTTGCCCAACTAAATCTGTGGCACAGCTATGAACAGAGACGACAGCCCTGGGCTTTAATGGCTGTATTTAGTTTCCTACTTCATTTATGTCGTTTTCTTCTGCAACTGTAATAGAACAGCAGAAAGGGTACAAGTATGGTGGCAGCATGGCAGTCATGCAGGCAGCGTGCGAAGCACGGAACAAAACTGCCGCTTACCAGCTCTTCCCTCTCCCAGAAGAAACTTCCCCTTCACTAACAAAACCAGTAAGTTATAGGAATGTTTTCCTATGGATTCCTGACAAATCCTGTCATTCCTCTGTGCATATTTTCAGTGGGTCTCTCTTGGTATAGACGATAGGTCTCTACGCTAACTGCTCGCTGCCCTGTAAGCCAGTGTTCTGCCTCCCGTGCAAGCGGGGGACAAGCGGGTGCGCGGACTGAGTGCGTGTGCAGGCTGAGCGCCGCACGGCAGTGCCAGCAGCAGCACTCCCAGCCCCTACATCTGTCTTCCCGGGCTGTCGTACCTCAAAAACTCCCAGGCTGGCATTCCCAAGAGGAAACTCTGAGAGATGAAATTCTTCAAAGCATTAAAGCCCGGCTAAAAGTGCTATCGCTGTTAATCTGCCCCAAAGGCAGCTGAAATGTGAAGAGGCACCAAGAGAGTTCAGCGGGCAGGCAAGCTGGGAGGGCAGTGTGGGAGCCAGGGGCTCTCTCCCGGCGCTGTCCCGGGGCGGCGCGGGCAGCGCGCTCCGCTGCGGGGAAGCGCCCCGTCTTTCTTCCCCCTCCCCTGTCCTCACGCTGGGAAGGGAGCGATTCCAGCGGGCGCTCCTGGGCAGCGGCGGCCAGGAGCTGTGCCCGCCCCGCGCCCCGCGCCCCGTGCCCCGCGCGCTACTCACCCGCGGTGCCGCCCGCCGCCCGCATGCTGCGCCCGCCGCCGCTCCGCAGGACGGCCGGGAGCAGCAGCAGGATTTCCTTCCCGTGCCTTCTCCCGGGCAGCCTCCCCAGATCCTCCCGCCTGCCTCCCACTGGGTGGGATCGCAAATCTCCACCTCCGCTGCATCCGCGAGAGAGACGCGCTCAAGGAGAGCGTCCCCTCTTCTCTGCCCCCTCCCCCAGTTAAACCAAACCTCCAGCCCAAACCGAGCCCCTGCCAAAGCCGAGCACAAAGGCTGCCTCCCGGGCACGGGGGAGCGCGCGCCTCTTAACTCTTTCCTGCCTGCAACGGAGCTGCGCTGCTGCGCGGGGCTCGCCTGAGCGGCGCCCGTGGGAACGCGCCGCTGGCCGCGGGAGCGGCGCTTCCCGCGGCTCTGCAGGTGCGGTTAAAGCAGGCGGCGGGAGCGCCGGCGCAGAGCAGGGCGAAAACCTCACGGCACAGCCTCTGTTTTGCGTTTTTCTCGCATTTGCTTGGGATAATTATATTTTCTAAGACAGTCACTGAAACAGGATGTGCAAGAGTTTTAAAACCGCTGGATCCTTGAAGACTGTTCCTGGATGGGATTTGTTGTGGTCCATCCAAAACACACATTGCTAGGACCCCTTACCTGCTTCCAAACCAAAAATGCACTTTAAAAGGCCATAAAAGCATAGCATATACTGGCATTCCTAGGTTTCCTAATACTACCACTTTTACTGTAAAAGTGGGAAATTCTCTTACAGTTATTCAATCTTTCCTCATTATGAAAAAAAAAATATTATCTCACAGGGAGCAGCTGAAGTGTTCAGGCTGAGAATCTGAAGCTGCCAACTGTTGGCAAGCCAGGTAGAAATGTTTAATTCAAAATCTCAAGTTGTCTTGAAATTGAGTATATGCAATAACCACTAAATTTGCTGTGTTGTATTAATGAAACTTATTCAGAAGTTCCTTACAGTTTTGTTGTAGATGCTTAGGATTACTGGTATGCTTAGCTAAGAATCACCTGTATACTAACCTATTGACAAAACATTGAAGACCTAGTAAGGGTGTACCTAGTGATCGTGCACCCTTCAGGAATGCACTTCTTAAAACTCTTGTAACTCCAAACATTCCTGACCCCCTATTTGTTTCCTAGGGTCATTTGACCCTCCTTTCTAAACAACTTGAGTTGCCCATCGAGATTAAATTTAGATTTCTGATCTTACCCAAGCACACATTTTTCCTTCCAATTCATAATTCCCATAATTTAGAAGATTGACACCATATATTCAAACACAGTCATTCTTAATTATATTTACTATTAAATGGAATAATTAGCCATAATCAAATGGCTGAAATTTTGTTCAAAATATGAAAAGGGAGAACTATTTATTACCATTTGAAATTTCTTTAGTATTGCTAGTCTGCATAAATTATATTAATTATTAGAAATTACTGAATTGCTCACGGTGGTTTTGTGATCTTTGTTGTTATTATTAGTGCTTATTTAGTAATTGGACCTTTATTTTGTCTTTAATCTTATCAGGTGCCTAAAACTGAGCTCAACTCCGGTCTGAAACTAGGTTAAATTCAAAAGTTATATGTGATCATTCCTGCTAAGTTCTTTGACTATGTTTAGGAAAGTAACATGGGAAAGTAATTTACTGCATATGAATTCTCTGAAAACTGATATTAACTGCAGTGGACCTGAGCTATGAAGAAAAGTGATCAAATATAGTTCTTTACACTGACATATTTTTAGGTCCTGGAGAAGCTTTCACTGTAATTGTGGAACTGCTGTCCTTTTCCTTGAGAGTTCTTGGCTGAGGATTCTCAGATTTGGTTAGTGAAAGTGTTTCCTCCAAGCTCTTCCATTTTGTCTCCTGAAGAAACGTAGCTGTTGGTCACAGTGTTGAAGGCTCAGTGTAAGTGTACAGCTGTCCTTACAGATAATAACAGTGCATTAAACTTAAGTTTTAAGGCTACTGGGAATATACCTGGGTTTTGGCACTTAAGTAACACTTCAGAAAGACTCTCAACATTTTTAAAGCTGTGAATTTTCCTTAGGAATTCAGCTATCAGAAAGAAATTCTTTATTTCAAGTGCTAGAATCCCAAGATGCTAAAACTCTTATACAACTAACTCAGATGCAATAAAAGGGGATCTTTAGTTATGTTTGAAGGAGTTAGTTTTATGTGATTAAAAAGAGTAACCCACTTATCTCCTCAGATTTAGTAGGAAATATGAGCATATGCTCATCAGCTTGAAGAGTCCAAAATCCCATTGCGAAAGTTCAGAAGACCAAAATCAGGAAGAGAGATTTACTTATAACTGGAAATCCCATAAACTGTCCATTAATATGCTTTTAATCTGTGCATTTTAAGAAAATCAAAAGAACTGTTTATAGCTTATTATTATTGCTTTCTTCCA